GCTATTTCCTCAATCTCTAGGCCACCCTTGCCCCAGCACATCCCATTGGCAGGATAGACTGTAGGTCAAAGGTTATGTGGCTGGGTTGGTTTCCCAATCTTTACTAGGAAGTCTTGCCTGGTCACATGAGACAGCCAGTTCAGGCTATGTATCTGCTGTTGCTAGAAGTCTTAGCTGGGGTCACCCTTGTAGATTTGTGGGAGTTTCCCTTGCATCAGGTTTCAATCTGTTCCTGAAAAGCCCCCCTTTCCAGTAATCTCTTTCAATACTCTCCCTCTCCATCCACCTCCAACCCAATCCCTCAGGCTCCCATGTCTATCCGCACCCAGTCCACCCAAGAGTTCTCTTCTATTTCCCCTTCCCAGGGAGATCTGGAAATCCCCCCCTTGATCCCTCCTTGTTACTTAGCCTCTCTGGTCTGTGAATTGTAGCATGGTTATTCTTTATTTTACAGCTAATATCCACTTACGAGTGAGTACATACCATGTTTGTCTTTCTAGCTCTGGGTTACCTCACTCAGGATGATTTATTTTTTCTGGTTCCATCCATTTGCCTGCAAATTTCATGATGTCATTATTTTTAACAGCTGAGTAATACTCTATTGTATAAATGTACCACATTTTCTTTATCCATTCCTTGGTTGTGGGACACCTAGGTTGTTTCCAAGTTCTAGTTATTACGAATAATGCTGCTATGAACATAGTTGAGAAGGTGTCCTTGTGGTATGATTGAGCATCCTTTGGGTGTATGCCCAAGAGTTGTATAGCTGGGTCTTGTGGTAGATTGATTCCCAGTTTTCTGAGAAACTGCCACACTGACTACCAAAGTGACTGTACAGTTTGCACCCCCACCAGCAATGGAGGAGTGTTTCTCTTGCTCCACATCCTCTCCAACATAAGCTGTCATTTGTGGTTTTGATTTTAGCCATTCTGACTGATATAAGATGGAATCTCAGAGTCATTTTGATTTGCATTTCCCGGATGGCTAAGGATGTTGAACATCTCCTTAAGTGTTTCTCAGCCATTTGAGATTCTTCAATTGAGAATTCTCTGTTTATGTCTGTACCCTATTTTTTTTAATTAGAATGTTTGTTTGTTTTTTGATGTCTAGTTTCTTGAATTCTTTATTTGTTTTGGAAACCAGCCCTCTGCCAGATATGGGGTTGGTGAAGGAAGATCTTTTCCCATTCTGTAGGCTCCTGTTTTGTCCTATTGACATGTCCTTTACTTACAGAAACTTCTCAATTTCATGAGGTCTCATTTATTAATTGTTGATCTTAGTGTCTGTGCTACTGGTGCTCTATTCAGGAAGTTGTCTCCTGTGCCAATCAAGGCTACTTCCCACTTTCTCTTCTGTCAGCTTCAGTGTAACTGGGTTTATGTTAAGGTCTTTGATCCACTTGGACTTGAGTTTTGTACAGGGCAATAGAAAAGGATGTATTTGCATTCTTCTACATGATGACATCCAGTTATGCCAGCACCATTTGTTGAAGATGCTTTCTTTTTTTCCATTGTATAATTTTGGATTCTTTGTCGAAAATCAGATGTCTATAGGTGTGTGGATTTATATCTTGGTCTCAATTCAATTCCATTGGTCACTTGTCTGTTTTTATGCCAATACCATGCTATCCATTTCCTCTTTAAGATCTCCTGTTCTTCTCTCATGGACCTTTCTGGCTGCCTGAGCCCTATAGACACTTCACATTTAAATAGACAAACCTAAAACTTCAAAATTAGTATCCACATAAAAGAGAGGGTATGCAGTGTTTTTTGGGGGAATGGGGAGCTCTGGGATACCTCACTTAGTGTAATGTTTTCTAGCTTCATCCTTTTTCCTGCAAATTTCCTAGGTCCATTTGCTAAGAATACTTCTATCTGACCCTATGGTAGTATCTGTCTTTTATGGAGTCTGGTTTCTTGGAAGTAACAAACAGATGATTTCTGCTTTTTGATCCAATATACAAGGCTGTGTCTTTTGATTGAGGAAATAAGACCTTCAATAAAGAGGCAGGTGAATCTCTGTGAGGCCAGCCTGGTCTACAAAGCTAGTTCCAGTCTTGCCAGGGTTACACAGCGAGACCTTGTCTCAAAAAGCCAAGCCAAATCAAAACAAGCTAGGTGTGGTGGAGCATATATTTAACACCAGCATGATCTATGTGTCAAGTTCCCAAGACTGCCAGAGCTACATAGTCAAACCCTGTCTCAAAACAAAAACCCTTAGAAGCCAGTTGGTGGTGACACATGCCTGTAATTCCAGCACTCTTGGCAGAGGCAGGTGGATCTCCATGAGTTTGATGCAGGTCTGGTCTACAGAGGAAATTCCAGTACAGCCAAGTCTACACAGAGAAACCCTGTCCTTTATGTGTTTTTTAAAAGTAATTTTTACTATAAATTTATCTGATTTATTGATTTACATTTGTTTAGGAGTCTTCTCTGTGGTTAGTTCAGAAACAAAGAGAATGCCTGTTGAGCAGCCACTGTGCTTGGCTGTGAGGTTACAGTGGGAGAATAATAAGGCCACATTGAGTGTACAACTGCATGCTGAGGCCAAGTTGAAAGCACTGCTCCCTCAGTCTTTTCACATGTTAGTAATTTCTGAGTCTTCTTTTTGCCTAGTTTTTCAGGATTTTTTGTTTGTTTGGTTTTTTTGAAACAGGATCTCACTATATAGCCCTGACTGTCCTGGAACTCAAAGAGATCCTCCTGCCTCTGCCTCCCAATCCTGGTTAAGATTAAAGACTTGTGTCACACCACACTCTTCAAGTTTGTCAGTTTTGATAATCTTTTCAAAGAGCCAAGTTTTAGGTTCATCAATTTTTCTAAATTTTTTTGTTCCATTGTTACATTTGTCTTTGTTCTGATCTTGATCACTTCTTAAGTGTAACTGTGTTTATTTTGCTCTGCTTCCAGTCTCACAGATGTCGTAGTGTGTGTCAGAAAGAGACCATTAACCACAGCCGGCCACGTTGTTGAGAGTACTAAGGACCTAAATATTTGTGTAGGGCTTCCTTTTGAGAAGAGGGGTCTGGTTACTAAGGGATTCAGTTTTGTTTTGATTGACAGACTTGGATTATGTCAGTCTTTGCTCACTGTGCATATCCCTTTTCTTGGTGAATGTCTTAGTTAGGATTTCTGTTGCTTTGATGAAACACAATGACCAAAAAGCAAGTTGGAGAGGAAAGTGTTTATTCAGCTTACACTTCCATATCACAGGTCATTTTTTTTTTTTTTTTTTTTTGCTTGACTCTGTTTTGTTTGATATTATGACTACTTTAGCTTTTTTCTGGTTGCTGTTGTGTGATATTTTTATTTTTTTTCTCCTTTCTTTCTTGAGAGTAGGCCTTCATATTTAGCTTAGACTGTCCTCAAACTCACTGTATACATCAGGATACTCTTGAATTTTCAACCTCCCACGTGCTGAACTACTATCATACCGATAGTAGTTTAAACTTTCTGTGTTTCTAAATCTAAGTCTTAGGAAAATAGCAAATGATTGGGTATTTGTTTTATGTAGTCCTATACTTTTGATATAGTTGAATTTAGCTTTGATATTTATTTTTGTTTCCTATTCCCTTGTTTCATCCTTTTGTTTGTATTAAGAGGATTTTTTTTTAGTATATCATTATTTCTTTATGTAATTTTTCAGCTTTTTAGGGAGCATCAGTTCCTTTAAGGAGATATTTTGGGTGGTGACAAGATTGTGGCATGCTTCTCTTGGAGTGACCTCTTTACTATTTAGGAGCAGACTACTGTGTGGACCTTTCCCACTGTTTTCTCCCAACAGAGATATACCTTATAAAAACACTGGAGTTAGGGTCCTTGGGGTCCAACCATTCTTTTTGTCCCAGCTAAGAGATACCACTGGGGAGTGGAAATTGTGGGAAGGAAAAGTACTTCATTTTGTGGTGAACCTGCCTTCCTATTGATAATCCCTTACCAGATCCTTAATCCACCCAATGGAATTAACTCTGAAGGGAAATGGCATGCCTCTATCTAGAGTAGGAGCCATTCTTCACTATACATTGTCATGCTTGGAATGTTTTGGATTTTTGAGCATATTGGCTTTCATTGTTTGAGGTTAAAGATATTCTGAAAAAATCTAGGCAAATATTCTAAAAATCTGCAGAGACATTTTGGATGAGGGATGCTCCATCTGTATGACATGTCTTCTGGGGTTTTTCTGTTCTGTCTGTTTGGTCAGTTTATGTAGTACTGTGCTGTTCCTATACCATCTTTTAAAAAATGCTTTATGTGCTGGGCGGTGGTGGCGCACACCTTTAATCCCAGCACTCGGGAGGCAGAGCCAGGCGGATCTCTGTGAGTTCAAGGCCAGCCTGGGCTACCAAGTGAGTCCCAGGAAAGGCACAAAGCTACACAGAGAAACCCTGTCTCGAAAAACCAAAAAAAAAAAAATGCTTTATGTGTATGGTTGTTTACCTGCATGTGTGTCTGGACCACTTGTGTGCATTGTCCTCAGAGGCCTGAAGAGTGCATTGGTCTCCTGGAACTCGACTTAAAAAGAGAGTTGTAGGCCTCCACATGGGCGCTGGAAACAGAACTCCAGTTCTCTGCAAGATCAGCAAGTACTACTGAGCCCACATCCATCTTAATATAGTTTTATAGTATCAGTATCATCGAGGAAAAGTATTTTTGCCTACTCCATGAATATTTTTTGGTATGCTTATATTAAAAATATTTTTGTATAGCTTATTCTTATTTTTTAAGACAGGCTCTTACTGTGTACCCCACTCTGGCCTTGAGCCTATATTCCTTTTGGCTCAGCTTCCTAGGCCTAGAATTACAGGTATGTGCTGCATGCTCAGCTTAAATAGCTTTGAATGAAAACATTTTGCCATCTTATGGTATTTAGTGAATATGGAGTTCATTATATGTTAGGCATTTATTCAGAGCATTTCCCAGTGTTGGAATGGGAAACAAAAGTATGTGATGCTTGTGTTCATTTATCAGCTTTAGTTACAGCTGTTTTTCTTTTAATTATAGGAACGGTTTTGATCAGAAGTAACAGTGGTCAGTTGATGCTGGTATCTCCTCAGCAAGCTGTAACAGGAGCCAAGACCACAAGTAATGTTGTAACTCCAAGGCCAGCAGTACCAGTCAACACTCCAACGGTCAAGATCTGTACAGTGCCGGTAATCTACCTGCATTTTCTTAGTTTCCAGCCACTGTCTTCATATAAACGTGGACATGTTCGCCAGTAAAAATTTGAGATAATTTTGCCCAACTTTTAAAATCAAGTGCCAACTTTGTTTTGATACTTGGTAATTGCTAAAATAATGAACTGTACCTTCATACTCAGTGATTTTATTATCCTCAAAGAAATTGTTCAAAGAGGCAGTATGCATCTGCTGAAAGAAAATAACTATTCTGAGTCAGGGTTTTGGAATGTGTGTGTATGTGTTGTGTGCCTTTATGTGTTCCAAGTAATATGGGAATCTGCTTTAATATTATTGTTTTGCCTTGTTTGAAGTGACTTTTTTATATAGATGTTGATCTTTTTATGTAACTGAAATTTAGTTTGTGTCAGTAAATTTAAAAATATTCTTATGAGGCCCGACGGTGGTGGTGCATGCCTTTAATCCCAGTACTCAGGAGACAGAGCCAAGCAGATCTCTGTGAGTTCAAGGTCAGCCTGGGCTACAGAGCGAAATCCAGGACAAGTACCAAAACTACACAGAGAAACCCTGTCTCGAGAAACCATATATATATATATATATATATATATATATATATATATATGCTTATGAATATTCTTAGGGTTTATATTGCTGTGAAGAGACACTATGACCACGACAACTCTTACAAAGAAAACATTTAATTGGGGCTTACATTTCAGGTTTAGTCCATTATCATCATGGCAGGACATGGCAGCGGGCAGGCAGACATGTTGTTGGAAAGGAGCTGGGAGTTTTATATGTGGGTCTTTAGGCAGCAGGGAGAGAGAGACAGAGAAAGAGAGACAGAGACACTATCCAGACTTGAGTATCTGAGACCTCAAAGTCTGCCCCAAGTGACACACCTTCTCCAACAATGTCACATCTCCTCCAACAAGGCCACACCTCCTATTAGTGCCACTCCTTTTGGGCGTGTGGGGGCCATTTTCATTCAAGCCACAACATCTTTATTTAACTCAGAAATGCTGGCGTTGGGGAGATAGTTTGGTTGGTAAAGTACTTGTAGCCCAAGCTTGAGGATTTGAGTGTGATCTCCAGCACTCACTAAACATGTGCACCTGCAGTCATAACACTAAAGTCAAGAGCTTCCCAGGGCTGTCTAGCTGTTGGGGTCAAATTCAAGAGCTCCAGGTTTAGTGAGACACTGTCTCAAAAATAAGATAGAGAACAGTTGAGGTAGATACACAGTGTCAAAGACTGACTGCCCTCTTGCCTGTGTTTCTCCCTCTCTTCCCTTCTTTTCCTCTTTTTAACTTTACATTTATTTGGTGTGTGTGTGTGTGTGTGTGTGTGTGTGTGTGTGTGTGTGTGTAGGAGATAATATTCATGCCATGGCTGCACTTGTAGAGGTCAGAGCACAACTTTCAGAAGTCACTTCTCTCCTACCAGGTGGAACTCAGGTCATCAGACTTGGTGGCAAGCTCCTTTACCCTTTATGCCATCTTGGTGGTCCTACTTCAGTTTTGATACTAGTTGCTCAGTTGGTTATTTTCTTTGTCAGTAGTATGAAGGTGATCCTAATTAGTCTTAACAATGAAAACCCGGAGTCAGATATGAAAAGTGAAAGCTGAAAGAGCAGAGCAGCAGCCACCAGCCACCTACGAGTCCTCCAACTGAATGGACTGAGATCCTGTCTCCACCCGCCTTATATTCCTATCTCCACCTCTCTAGTGCTGGAATTAAAGGCTTGAGCCTCCCATGTGCTGGGACCAAAGGCATATTCCTCTCAAGTGCTGGGATTAAAGTCTGACCTCTATAGTTAAACTAGTGGCTAGCTCTGCCTTCTGTTCTCCAGGCAAGCTTTATTTGTCCAAACACAAACAAAATATCATACAGTAGTAGTACATTTTCCTTCTAATATGGTTTAGCTATGGGTTAACAGATTTTTATTTATAATTAAATAAGGAATCTGTATGTTTTCTTTATAACATCAAGTTTAAGATTTTATTTTTTTATTTTCTTATCTGTGTATGATACATGTGTGTGAGTGTGGGTGCATACATGCTGAAGTGCTCATGTGGAGGTCAGAGGACAGCTGTAGGACTCAGTTCTATCTTCACCATGGGTTCTGGGGATCATACTCAGATTGTCAGGGTTGCATGATAATACATAAAATAAAAGAGCTTTTATCCCCTGAACAGTGTTCTGGGCCCAAGTTTAAGATGTTAGTGATGAATGGTGTAGATCTTACTTAATTGGAAAATTAACATAAAAGAAAAGATTATTTTGTAAATCAGTTGCCTCCTTTAAAAAAATCTCAGCTGACCAGCTGACCAGTTAGCTTTATAGTACAGAATGTTCATAAAGTGCAGTGTATAGCAAATGCGTTTGTTGAAGTCTTCTCATTTTGTTCACAATACTGATTGATTTAAAGTGATTAATATTGACTGGGCATGGTGGCACATGCCTTGAGGCAGAGACAGTTAGAGCTCTGTGAGTTCCAGGCCAGCCTGGTTTAGGTATTGAGCTTAGGCCAGCCAAGGCTACCTAGTAAGATCCTTTCTCAATAAAACAAACAAACAAACAACCCTTAAAATGACTAGTATCAATAACTTGGTTATCTTGTCCTTTTCCCAGAATTCCAGCTCACAATTAGTGAAGAAAGTGGCAGTGGCTCCTGTTACTAATTTGACCCAGACAGGAACTACTGTGGCCACCACTGCCCCTGGTGCTTCCTCAGGACAAGTGAGTAGTGTGTGTGTGTGTGTGTGTGTGTGTGTGTGTGTGTGTGTGTGTGTGTGTTGTGTGTATACTAGCTGTTTTCTCACTACTGTTCAAGTATTTCTTGCCAGGTATTTAAGTGTCTAACTATGTGACGCTGAAGGCATATATGATGTTGCTCATCAGACTGTGAACCATTGGAGATGTAGAAACAAGAAACCAGAGTATCTTATTAGATACCCATTGCATAAATGCATTAAAGTAATATAAATACATCTAACAACCATGTATTACAGTCTCTAGAAGGAGGTGCTAAAATAGAATATGGATAAGTTATTTTTTAGGAATCAATACCTGTGAAGAGAAGGAGAGTAAGCTTAGGCTAGATTCATGATTGATAAAGTTTTAGCCAACCTAATAGAGAATGTTAGAGCATATGTACCTTGTAGGTAGAGTTTTCCTGCCTGGCCCACAGTCAGGACAAATCTCTCTCACCTGCCAGTCCCACAGCGTTTCAAACACAACCAAGTAAACACAGAGGCTTTATTTGCTTACAAACTGTATGGCCGTGGCAGGCTTCTTGCTAACTGTTCTTACCGCTTAAATTAACCCATTTCTATTAATCTATACCTTGCCACGTGGCTCGTGGCTTACCGGTATCTTCACATGCTGTTTCTCATCGTGGCAGCTGGCAGTGTCTCTCTGACTCAGCCTTCCACTTCCCAGCTTTATTCTCCTCCTTGTCCCGCCTACATTTCCTGCCTAGCCAATGGCCAATCAGTGTTTTATTTATTAACTAATTAGCAACACATTTGCCATACAGAACATTCCACAGCAGTACCTTGTCAACATTGTCCCACTGAGAGTCAGCATAGACTATCCTGGGAAAATTGTACTTTGTGCAAGGTATCTTCTTTGCAGCAGAGACCAAATTAATGGAGCTGATAACTGAAAGTCATCCCATAGAGCAGCCAAGACAGTACAGATCTCTCCTTGCAGTGGTTCATTGACACCTACATCTTATGTCACTTGGATATATGCTTCTCGAACATGTTACAGACAACTGTCCTGGGATGGACTTCTTTCCTTTGGAAACAAAGGTTAAAAGGATAGACTATGTAGCCTTACTCCTGTAGCCTACACTAAATCATGTCAGTTCTCTGCTGTCCACCTTACATTACCCTCACTCTTGCCTACTACTATGCTGGTCTTGGGAGTTGCTTACTAGTATAATCAGATTTTCCTCTTAGGAATCTCCCTAGATCCCTCTGTGGATATGTTCCTGCCCTATCTTGGATTTTCTGTTTTTCTCCACTTGTAACAGATTAGCACAGATTGAGTAATTTATAATGAATAGAAGTTTGTTTGACTCATGATTCTGGAGATGGGAAGTCTAAGATCATGTTGTTGTGGAGGCCAGAAGAGGGGGTTGGATCACCTATAACTAGAGTTAGAGTTAGTTGTTAGCCACCTTGTAAGTGCTGGGAATTGAACCCTAGGTCTTCTGGAAGAACAGTAAGGTTTTTAACCACTGAGTCATCTCTCCAACCCCTTAATTTTTACCCAGAATTTCATCATTGGTTTTAGTTGTCATTAATCAATATTTTTAATTTACTTCCCATTTTACCAGAACATTCTGTCTGATGTAAGTACCAGTTTATCTGAAGGGAAAATTTGTGTGTCCATATCTTAACATGTGCAGAAAGAATTTTTCTTGAGATTGCAAGCATCTCAGTTAAAGTCATGCTGCAGATGTTTAGTCTTCTCTGTGCATATATCCCCTCTACCCCACTTTTCCTATGCTGTGTAATCTTTAGTATATTTGTTGCTTTATCTCTAGTTTTCTAATTTTGTACTTTAACTTACAGTTTTTGTGTTAAACTTTCTGTCCTGCAGGTGGTGCTAGAGTCACACCACCTCATTCTGATACACATAGAAAGTAATGAAATTCCTTTCAGTGTGGAAAATAGACATCCCTCTCTTGTAATGCTATTATGCTTATTCTGATGGTCCACAGGAGATCAGTATAGCTGAGCATATGAAAATTCGTTGATAACTCTATTTTAATTTATACTTAAGAGAAAGCAGAAAAGTGCATAAAAAGTATGAAGATTTGTTATTACAAGTACATTTTTGTGCACTTGTGTGATCACCTGTGTACGCATGTGTGTTGAATAAAGTTTTCCTCAATTGATCTCTCCCTTATTTTAGACGAGGATTCTCACTGAACTTGTCATTTGACCTACAGTGGCTGTTCAGTGAGGCATACTCCACCCTGAGATTACCTATCTCCACCCCACAAACACTGGGATTACTAGAGTACACCACCATGCCCAGCTTTTATGTGAGCACTGATGATCAGAACTCAATACCTTACGTTTGCATTCAGCCATCTTCCCAGCTCCATTAATAATATATTTTTATTAACATTTTAATGACTTTTTTGTGTGACATTGTTTTTCACAGACCACTCTAGATTACATTCCTATTTTTGCTTTTGCATTTGGGCATCAGGATTAGAAGGTTAAGTAACTTGCTGGTAACTAATAATGTAGTAAATGCCAGTGAAGAGTAGAGTGGTAGCTGAGAGTGAAATGCAGATCTCCTCTAGTCCAGAGTTCTGATAAAGTGCTGAGGGGTTTAGAGTACCACTTGAAAGCTGAGATGTCCAATTTATTTGTAGTCTTTTCAGTGTAAAGTGAAGTGCCCACTAAGATGTCATAGCAATACATATTTAACTTTATGTTGACTTAATTTCAGTCTGTGGCTGTACCTCCTGTCAAGCCAGTGAATACTGTAACTATCCTGAAGCCAACAAGTTTGGGAGCAGTATCTACCCCCTCAAATGACTCCAGTCTCAAAGCAGAGACCTCAGTAGCTGCTCAGACTAGTCTTTCTCCGGTAAACTCTCACTTGTATCTTTTATTTTTTTTTTTTGCTATATATGCTTTTTCCTGTTTGCTAACATTTGTGATTCTTTTTCTATATCAGACAGTGCTAGAAAATGTGAAAAAATGTAAAAACTTCCTTTCAATGTTAATAAAACTAGCATGTAGTGGATCACAGTCTCCAGACATGGGACAGAATGTGAAGAAGCTGGTGGAGCAACTTTTGGTAAGTTGATATTGTATAATTTTTCAAGCTATGAGAGTCCATAGGACATGTTTTAAATGGGTAATGATGTTTCAATAAAATTTGTTTTAAATATACTTGCTAAAACTTTTTGCTTCATTAAAGCTTTGTTTTGTAGTTGTCACTGCCGTTAGAAAATAATCACTACAGTTAGAAAATCACCGCAGTTAGAAAATCCCTACAGTTAGAAAATCCCTACAGTTAGAAAATCCCTACAGTTAGAAAATCACCACAGTTAGAAAATCACCGCAGTTAGAAAGTCACTGCAGTTAGAAAATCAATTACTGCAGTTAGAAAATCACTACAGCTGGGCGGTGGTGGCTCACGCCTTTAATCCCAGCACTCGGGAGGCAGAGCCAGGTGGATCTCTGTGAGTTCGAGGCCAGCCTGGACTACCAAGTGAGTTCCACGAGAGGCGCAAAGCTACACAGAGAAACCCTGTCTCGAAAAACCAAAAAAAAAAACCAAAACAAAAAACCCCCAAAAAACAAGAAAATCACTACAATTAGAAAATCACTACATACAAAAAAGTAAATCTTTAATGTGTTTAATTTCACCATATATGTAAGGTGGACATGATATTTTGAATATATATTGTTTTTATGCCAATCTTTTTATGTGTATTTTGTGGACAGATAGCAACAGTTATAAACTCGTCAAATAACTGTTTTAGATCTGTTTATCTTAGACCAACAGACAGCAGTTCTCAAAATTTTGATCTCAAAATATTAGGAGACCTTAATATTCTTAAAAATAAATAACCTATATGTATATATTTGCCTTTGGAATTAAAACTAAGTGCTAAAGCTATTTATTCAACTAAGAATAACAAAGCCATTATATGTTAACATGTAATATTTAAAGAAAAACTACAATTTCCAAAATAATGAAACTGAGTGGGAAATGACATTGATTTGCATTTTGTAAATTTGATGCTGCACTTAATAGAAAGCAGCTGGGTATTCTTCCCTTATTCTATTTTGTGATGGGCTGTTAGAGAATTTGTTGACAGAGTTAAAGAATTACTGTCTTCTTGCAGAGAGGTAGTTGGAATATTGGGCATTTTAGTAGCCTTTTCTAGATCCATGTGGACATTGTTTAGTAGACTACTTAATTATTACACTGTTAATGAATCTCTTAACTCATGTATAATTTTTATAGTAGCATGCAATGTTTAAAACAAATGCTGATTCTTAGAATTATGTAGCTCTTCTAAAAGTTTCCATATATTTAATGAATTAAGGTAATTGATTCCTAATTTCTTCCAGCCTTACATATGTACATCTGTATATAGCTATAAATCTATACCTCTGTCTATCTACCTGCCTACCTTCCTACATCTTGTTTGTGTGTGACTGTGGTGCATGTAAGTGTGTACATGCCATACTCAGAGGTCAGAGGAGGGTGTCAGGTATTCTTCTGTATCACTTGGCTTCATTTGTTTGAGGCAGGGTCTCATTGAACCTGGAGTTCTTGGTTTTTTCCTAGACAGGCACCAAGCATGCCATGTTACTGCCCTGATAGCACTGTGGTCACAAGTGCATGGGAGGTTATATCTGATTATTATGCTGAGGTTGGAATCCAAACTCAGGTCTTTGTTACACAGCAAGCTCTTAATCACAAGCCACTTCTCTGCCACTTAAGTGTTCTTTGTTGTTTTTGTTTTGTTTTTTGGGGGGACAGAGTTTCTCTGTGTAACTGTCCTGGAACTCACTTTGTGGTCCAGACTGGCCTCAAACTCAAAAGAGATCTGCTTGCTTCTGCCTCCCAAGTGCTTGGATTAAATGCATGTGCCACCACCACCACCACCAGGCCACCCTCAGCAGTTTTTTTAAGAAAAGCTTTAAATTTTAGGAAGCTATCAAATCCAGAGAAAGTTATAAATTTTCCAGAATTGTGATTCTTTGCATATTAGAATCTTCTTCTTCATGAAAAGAATATTGTCTTCACTGTATTCTCTGATTGGACATGTCTATTTTTTAGTTCTCTGGTGGCATGAGATAAAAGGCCTTGTAAAGGTGTTTTTTACCACTTATGAAAAGCTTATCTTCAATCATGAATTAAGTACTTTGCCTCTTCTTATTTTTTTAAGTTCATTTAATTTTTAAGAAACTGGCTCACTGCTGTTTATGCTGGCCTTCAACTCCTAGGCTAAAGTGATTGGATTGCCTCATAGAACATTCACCACTCCACCTAGTTTTGTTTCTTTTCTTTTTTTTTTTTTTTTGGTTTTTCAAGACAGAGTTTCTTTGTGTAGTTTTGTTTCTTGAACTATTTGTAGATTGGGGAGACTGCAATCAGGATGTAAAATAAATAAATAAAGAATATTTGCAGATCTGAAAGTATGTTCTTTCTCCCATTTCTTAGGATGCAGAAATTGAAGCAGAAGAATTTACTAGGAAACTATATATTGAACTCAAGTCTGCACCTCAGCCACACCTTGTACCTTTTCTTAAGGTAGGGGTGTATTTCTTTGGAGAAATTGTTTGGGTTAAATTACTTTAGTTTAAAACCTGACTGTTTTAATGTGACTGGAAATCAATGGGAAGATACTACTGATGAGAGAAACTTTAGCACTTTTGTAGCGTTCTATAAAACAACATTCATCTGAGCAGTTTAGAAAAACAGGCGTAACAGCAACTTTAAAAAAATTCCCTTGCATTTAGTTACTTAGTGGGGTGGCTATGTCACGTGTAGAGGTCAGAGGACAACTTAAATGAGTAGGTTTACTTCCACATGGAGGTTCATGGTATAGAACTCTGGTTGCCAGGTTTGGTGGCAAATACATTTACCCACTGAGTCATCCCACTGGTTCCCCCCAAGAGTAACATCTTACTCATGAATGTCACTTGGTAGTGTATAATGTTTGTATTGGAATATAGTCAAAGATTTTTGTTTTGAGAGAGAGAGAGAGAGAGAGTGTTGAAGCCAAATGTTGAGGTTAGGCATTGCCCTAAATTGCACTCCACCTTATATATTGAGGCAGGGTCTCTCACAAAACACAGCTCATGGATTTGGCTAGTTTCATAAGCCAGTTTGCTTCAAGAATTCCTTGTCTCTGTGTCCCAAAAAAATCTGGATTTCAGGATATTTACTTGGGTGCTGGGGATTAAACTCAGATTATTTTTTTCCAGATTCTTAAGTGCTTTTAAATTCTGAGTCATCTCCCTACTCTTAGTTTTTTTGAGACAGGGTTTTATTTATTCCAGACTAGCTCCTACTTAACATGTAACTCAGGAGTACCTTGAGTTTCTGAAAATTCTGCCTCTACCTCACAAAGACTGGGATTATAGATGTAAGCCAACGTGCCTGTCTCAGAGAGAGAGAGGGAAGAGAGAGAGAATATATGAGGTCTTAGTGATCCATGTTAAAATAATAAACCAAACATGGTTTATTAGAGTCAGATTTAATATAGTTATAATTTAGCTAATTTACTAGTAACAAGTGATTATAATTATTTATAATTTATAATATTGGCTTTCCTCTTCAGAGTTACTGAAGTAAATACATTTTTGATGAAGAACTATATCTTTGATAACAAGAACTTATTTTGACAGAGTAAAAAAAGTTTCATTTAGATTTTCAGAAGCTAAAAAGGAATTAAATTGAAATTATAAAGTCATTAAAGGCCCAGGACTATAGTGAATTAAGTTTGCTCTGTAAACATTAAAGTAATAGAAAGAGTAGTTGCTTTTTAAGAATGTTGGGGTAATGATCCAGGAGAGATAAAAGACAGTTCACAGGGAAGACGTGCTTTGCTTTGTGAAGGATGAGTGGGAAGGAGGTGGGAACACACCAATTTCATAAGGATATCTAAACAATGGGAAGAACTGTTTCTGAGTAAATGACCAAATTGGTTAGATGGGCACAAATCATGATAAGAGGGACCAAAGAAACTGAGAAAGTATTAGCCAGAGACTTGGTATTAGGTAGGAAAAGTTGAAAGATGAGCACAGTACCAAGTACTACATTTAAATAAGGTGAAATATTTGGTCTTTGCGTCTGGAGCCATAGCTAGGATTGGGCGGATTTGTCTAGAATGTGAAGTTCTCTTTGTAAAAATCACCAGTGGACATGGTCTGGATTCCCTGATCTACCACTTACTGAGCAGTAGAGGCATTACTTCCAGACTCATTCATTCCTAACTCTTTCAGTTGTAGGTACTGTTCATAGCAGTGATGTCCTTTGTCCTTTGCTTTGCCCTGTTGTGTGCTATGGGGGAGAAGGAGGAAAACTGATGACAATCTGCTGTGTTACAGCAGATGATGTCAGTCAGCTTTCAATTGTAATATGGTGAAGTGATAAACTTCTTAAGAGAAAGGCATATTTTAGCTCACAGATTTTTAGTCTCCTATTTGTGATTGCCAAGGTGTTAGCTGTGTGACAACACAGCATGACAGCGGCATGTGATAAAGTCAAACTGCTCCTCACATGGCCTGGAAGTGAAAAAGAAAGAGAGAGACCAGAGTCCTACAGTCCTGTAAATGGCATGCCCCCGTGGCCTTGAGATGAGGGCTTACATTGGGCCCCATCTCCTAACGACGTCTACTAGTACTTTTCCATGGTGCCAAGCTGGGGACCAGCCCTATAACATACAACCTTTGAGAGGCACTGGAGATCTATCCAAACCATAGCAGATGACATGATGTGCATTGGTTGCACTTGATTGTCATATGACCTTTTGAGAATAGATGCCAGATAGTGTTTTCTATTTTAGAGAGAACAAAAACCATTTAAATTGCCATTTTTCTTTTTTTTCCCCCCAGGATTTATTTATTTTTATTTTATGAGTGTTTTGCCTACATGTATGTAAGTGTACAACATGTGTGCCTGGTGGACCAGGAGGTCAGAAAGTGTTAGATCCCCTCTAACTGGAGTTATGGATGGTTGTGAGTTGCTATGTGGGTGCTGGCAGCCACACCTCAGTCATCTGCAAGAACAGAAAATGCTTCTAACCACTGAGCAATTCATGCAGCCCTTTCTCTTTTTGAAAAGGTTTACTTTCTTTTTATTTGTGTGTATGTGTACATTTGAGTAAATGCTGTGTGTGTGTGTGTGTGTGTGTGTGTGTGTGTGTGTGTGTGTGTGTGTGTGTGTGTGTTTTACCCTGAGAGGCCAGAAGAGGGTATCTCATACCCTGGAGCTAGAGTTACAGATGATTGTGAGTTCCCAGTGGATGCTGAGAACTGGAGTCTTCTGGAAAAGTAGCAAAAATTCTTAACTTCTGAGTCATCTCCTCAGCAGTTTTTTTCATTTTTAGATGTTTTTATTAGTTATATGTAGTAAGGGTTTCATTATGATATTTTTAGCACATATATGTATTTGGTTTTATCTAGCCCCATTAATCCTCTCTTGTCCCCCTCTCATTTCTGATGATCTCCTCCACACCATCTCTAGTATTTCATGGGTTTGGCTTGTTTGTTTTGATTTGTTTGGCTTTTGATGACCAAATGAGTTTCATGAAAGTGGCTTACAAGAACGTGAGTTAAGTAAGCTCTATTTAAATGAAAGTGGCGCACACCTTTAACCCCAGCACTCAGGAGGCAGAGACGGGGGATCTCTAAGTTCAAGGTCAGTCTGGTCTACAGAGTGAGACCATGTCTCCCAGAAAACAAAACAAAACAAGGTAGTACCTTACCAGTGGCCACAGTGAAAAAAAAACAACTCTCCCTCCCCCATAAAACAATAATTACAAGGAAATCCCCCAGGGAGTAGTAGGGTCCCTGTGTCCTTCCCCCTCCACTACAGAATGTTGAAGGGACAAATTTTGTGCAGGTCATTTTCTTAAAATACGCCCTTGTGTTTTGAGAATTTCATAAACGCGTACTGTATGTTTTGATGGTAATCACCGTGTCCCTCCCATCCGTAGTTTGTACTATGTACATTATTGTACTATGTAGTCCCTTTGCCTACTCTTCCCAATTTCATGTTCATTTTCTTTTTGTTTTATAAAACCCAGTGAGTTCAGTTAGTGCCACCCTTATGCTTATGGGTGTGGGACAGTCTCTGTTGTGAGACCAGCTTACCAGGGGCCACACACCTGGGGAGAACTGACTTTCCCTCCCCCAGAAACCATCAGCTGTCAATAATTCCTTAGTCAGGGGTGGGGGTTGGGAGCTCTTCCCCACTTTATGATGGGATGTTGATGGCCTTGATTTTGTGCAAGTCTTGTGTAGGCAGACAGAGCTGCTACTTGTCCTGTCATGTCCAGAAGACTATTTCATGCAGTCCTCCTGACCTGGTCCTTTTTCTTTCTGCTCATTTTCTGAGATGCCCCCTGAACCTTTGAGGGAAAAGGTTGTTATATAGATGTCTCATTTGTGTCTGAGTACTTCACATATTTGAAGTTTTGATTTTCTGTGCTGTCACCCATTGCACAAAGAAACTTTTCTGATGAGGTCTGAGAGCTGCACTAATCTGTAGTTTAGAGATAAAAAATTTAGGGAGTAGTTTGATAACTGTGTTCATTTAGCAGAACAATAGTAATCGGATCACTGCTGGGGCATATGAGCTCCCTCAGACATTGGCTCCTGGCCAGGGTTACAGTGCCAGGCATGTGTTATTCCGGTAATACCCTTCCCGGTATTGCACCCGAGGCACTTGTTACTGTAGTTCACAGGGTTCTCTAGCTAAGATTGTTGATGACTTACCCCAGCAACATGCATAGTACCTCCAGTACTGTGAAAGCTAGCCAGTAGTGAGAGGTACCCTCCTGGTCAGTACCAACTTGGTTTCTCCAAGTCCTGTGGCCAAAGTATGTGCTTTCTTCCACAGTAGGGTCTTACCAAATGGAAATAGCCTATATTATTGCTTCAGGAGCTTCTGGGACAGCCTTGGCAGTTGAAAGGTGTATCCCCCATTTACTGTTTTTTTTTAAATTTTTTTAATTATCTCTTCTTCACTCTACCTTCCCATCCTTCTCCCCACTAAAATCTCTCCCTATTTCCCCCCCCCCCCCTTTTTTTTTTTTTTTGGAGAGGGTTTCTTTGTGTAGCCTTGGCTGTCCTTGAACTAACTCTGTAGACCAGGCTGGCTTCAAACTGACAGAGATCCTCCTGCCTCTGTCTCCCAAGTGTTGGGATTAAAGGCATGCCCCCCCACCACCTGGCCCCATTTTTCCCTCTTTTATGCACATCTTGTGAAGGTAATCACAGCTGGGATCTATTTTCCACATGGGTCCCCTTCCTCTGGTGCTGTAGCGTTCATTATCCCACTTTTGTGATATATTCTGAGCCTTGAAGGGGTTGATATACATGTCTCAGTTATAACTGGCCATTCAATGGCTGCTTATTCTTGGCTCGTTGACCAATTATTAGTCTCTCTAGACTACTGACCACTGCAAAAAGAAGCTTCACTGACTCAAAGCTAACAGCAGCACTAATCTAGGAACACAAATATAGTTATTTTGAAAGCAGTTTGGTGAGTATAGAATGCTCATTTAACAAAAGAACAGCGAAAACATTTTTACTAGGGCCTACCTCCTCAGCCAGAGAATTTTGAACAGGTTTACAGTAACAGGGCCTCAGATCTAGTCAGAAAGCAATTGATCTGCTCTGTAGTGGAACCGCCACTGTTGCACTAATGGCTGCATCTTGCCTGGCTTGGTGCATGCAGAATCCACAGCTGAATAAAACCTTTGGTGACTTTTCTCTGGAGCAGCCTAAATGGCACATCTGAGAACTGTGAGGGATACCTACATGGAGGAGCCTCCAGCCCAGTTTCAGTTTGTGGCCCAAGCATATGGCCACTTCAGCACTAGGGTCTTACCAGTTAGATCTAGGGAGCAAGCAACAGCAGTGGCAGTTTCCTGTATTGTTCGGAGGCCTTGGGACTCTCTGGCCAACAACTTGAAGCAGTAGCCCACTGCTGGTAATGAGAAGTTAATTTAATGGCCGCTGGCTTCTTTCTGCAAGCAGCTTTATCTACCACACCTGTACCTCCATTCTAGCGCTCACTGTTTTTCGATAGCTTACCAAGCATTGGGTTTTTGTTTCCCCCATACTTTGTTAGTTTTAGTTGACTCTCTCTCCCTCCTCTGACTTCTCTCTTTGTTCACCTCTTCACTTAAACCTTTCTACCCCTAGCATTACCTCCTGTATCATGTGTTCTAATATGTGCCCCTCCCCCCATACAGAATTTTTTTCTTTTTTGCAGTATTAGTAATTGAACCTAAGGCTTTGAACTCTAGTACTCTAGCTAAATTCACTATCTTTTCTTTCTTTCTTTTTTTTTTTTTTTTTTCTTTTTTTCCCCAGACAGGGTTTCTCTGTGTAGCCCTGGCTGTCCTGGAACTCAATGCTGTAGACTAGGCTGATGGTGAACTCAGATATCCTCCTGCCTCCGCCTCCAGAGTCCCGGGATTAAAGATGTGCACCACCACGCCCGACTGTATCTGCTTTCTAATGACCTATGGATCCTGTTTTTTTTAAACAACACTTGATATCTCCTGGCATCATTGAAAGAGCTTGGTAGTTAAATGCCACATAGAGAGGATAGGTTTGGCATTTCAGCTTAATCCTGGCCATGATTAAGAAATGATTAATTAAATATATACATCTTGTTTGTTTAACTCTCATTACTTTAACATTTGTTTCCAATTAGGTTTTTCTGAGAGCTTCCTTTTGCATTTCCAGTTGAGACATAGTAAATTGTTTTTTATTTTGATATAGAGGCTTTATATCCAACGTTTGAAAGCTATTTAACAATATAACCTAGATTCTTCTGTGTTATAAATAATCTTATAGATACTAAGTTAATCATTGACATATCCAGAATAAATTTAATATTTTCTCACTGAGAAAGTACTTTGACCTTTTAATAATGTGGCTAAACACAAATTTTTGCTTTGCTTTTGGCTTATTTTGTGACCTTCATCTTCTTTCCTCTACTGTTTCTAGAAGAGTGTGGTTGCCTTAAGACAGCTTCTCCCCAACTCCCAGAGTTTCATTGAGAACTGTGTTCAGGAGGTCTCTGGGGAGGTGGTCGTTGCCTCCTGTTCCACAACAGCAACAGCTTCTCCTGTGCTGACAAGTACAGTTGCCCCAGTCCTTGTCTCCGGAGCAGCCGCCCCCAGAACGCTGTCTGTCCAGACTCCGAATCCACTTTCTGGTCCAGGAGGAGCAAACGCTGGAGCTGGGACACTGCCTTCCGTGGTCCCCGCTGCTGTGGCGGGAGGAACACCTGCCACTGTTGTGCTGCAGACTTCCAAACCGCTGACAACATCGGTTCCAAATGCAGTGACAGCAGTCTCTCTTCAGCCCGAGAAGCCAGTCGTGTCCGGGGCAGCAGTTACCCTGGCCCTTCCTCCAGTGACTTTTGGAGAAACTTCAGCTGCACATGCTCCTCTTTGTCTTCCGTCTGTGAAGCCTGCCGTTACCTCTGCTGGGACCCAACCCGATACACCCGCCATTGGCACTCCAGTCCAGATCAGACTTGCGCAGCCAGGCCCCCTTCTTCCACAGGCAGCCGGCATTCCACAGGCCGTCAAAGTCAAGCAACTAGTGAGTACCAGTTCGTTTCTTCCCCAGCTCCTTATGCAGAAAACTCCACACGTTCAGAAGACTGGCAGGACTTCGTATGCTTCCCAAACTTGACGAGTTGAGATCTTTGAGCCTCGCCTGCTCACTCTCCCTCCTATAGCTGCATAGAGAGAGAAGCTCACACATAGTGTTTCCTGAGCATGTAGAGGAGTTGTGGAAGTCGGGACTGTGGACTTCAGAATTCTATGTATGTTTCTTCCTCCCTCCCTCTTTTCTTCCCTCCTCCCCTTTCTTCTTTTCAGTGCTAAAGATGGTGCTAAAACACCGAAGCATTCTAGGCACACGTTCTACTACTGAGCTGTAGCACTGGTCTTTCTTTAACTTACTGCCTAGTTGGCTTTAAATTTTCAGTCCTGGGAATACATGCTTGTACAATCATATGTGACTATGTATCTCCTAATGAAAAGGGTGGTTTTTAAATTAGCATAGCCAAACCTGTTGTTGCCAAACCTGTTGTCACACAGGGGCATTGATATATTTATTAGTTGTCCCAGTATTAATCTTTAAAAAAATTGTTTTTAACATTTATTTGCTTTGTTTCATGTGTGTGAGTGTTTTGCTTGCATGCATGTATATGTGGAACTCACAGATCCTCTTCCCTCTGATTCCTAAGTGTTGGGATTACATTAAAATAATGATTTAAGTGCCTAGTCTAGTTATTTGATAGAACTTTCTTTGTTTTGTATTATTCTTTCAGTGTTACATTAAATCTAAATATTTTTGGGAGCTATTACATAGGTGATTATTATGACCTTATTTTAGTACTGAAGATTGAAGCTAGGGCCTTGTACATTCTGGGCAAGTGTCCTGTCATTGAGTTGTAACTCCAGCCTTTTGTAGCGTGTGCTCGTGCTCAGTGTCTCTCTCTGTCTCTGTCTCTGTCTCTCTCTCTCTCCCTCCCTCCCTCCCTCCCTCCCTCCCTCCCTCCCTCCCTCCCTCCCTCTCCCGTCGTGCGTGCGTATTTATATATATCTATAAGTATGTGGAAGCCAGAGGTTGACATTGGATTTTTTTCTTGATTTTGGTCCTCCTTATATTTATTTCTGTTTATGTGAGTCTGAGTGAATATATGCCACCTGTTTTCTGATGCCTTAAGAGGCCAAAAGTGGGAGCTGTAATTACATGAAGTTGTGAGCCTCCTAGTGTGGATGCTGGGAATGACTGTGTATCCTCTGGAAGAGCAGGAAGCTCTCTAACACAGAGCTATCTCTCCATCTTCTTCCCAGTTGAATCCTCCTGTTTCTGCCTCCAGTATTGGACTTACAGGCATGCTCCACTATTCCCAGCTTTGATGTGGGCACTGGGAGCACTATCTATTGAACCTATCCTTTCACATTTTAATTTTTTTTTTTAAACAGGGTCTTGGCTTGGTGGTGGTGGTGGTACACGCCTTTAATCCCAGCACTTGGGAGGCAGAGGCAGGTGGATCTCTGTGAGTTCCAGGCCAGCCTGGTCTACAGAGCAAGATCCAGGACAGGCACCAAAACGACACAGAGAAACCCTGTCTTGAAAAACAAAACAAAAAACAAACAAAAACATGCTAAGGAGTAAGGGAGGGCATGTAGGAAATTATACAGGAGTGTATTTTTTCTTATTCCTGGCATGTGGAATAGATTCTTTGGTAAAAAAAAGGAAATTTTAGCTGTTTATTTGATTAGACATTGTTTAGAATTTTCTACTTCATTAAGGAAAAGACACTTTATTTATTTATTAATTGATTAATTAATTAATTTTTCGAGGCAGGCTTTCTCTGTGTAGCCCTGGCTATTCTCCAACCCACTCTGTAGACCAGGCTGGCCTCGCACTCACAGATCTGTCTTCCTCTGCCTCCCAAGGGCTGGGGTTAAAGACGTGGTCCATTGGGTACCTGAACTGAGAAATGAAACATTCTTTTTTGTTTGTTTGTTTGTTTTGTTTTATTTTGTTCTGTTTTTCAAGACAGGGTTTATCTGTGTAGCCCTGGCTGTCCGGTAACTCACTCTTGTAGACCAGGCTGGCTTTGAACTCACAGAGATCTGCCTGCTTCTGCCTTCTGAGAGCTGGGGTTAAAGGTGTTTACCACCACCGCTGGGCATGAAACATGTATATCCAGTGATCCTTCAGTATTGTTCTGGGCAGTGAGATTGGGAACCAAAGAATTGGGGGAACTGATCCAGGCAAAAGTCTCTTTTTGGTAGAACTGAGGGGAATTAGAACCTTCTTTACTGGTCATTACTAGTTCTTAAGTCAGTGCTAAGCTTATTGATGGGCTGTAGCATAAAGGTCCATGAGCTTAAGTAATACTTTGTCACTTGCATACATTAAAGAAATCATTAATATGTCATGAATTTACAGCTAATTTTATGATGAAGAATCCAGACATACTAAGTGACTCATCTAGTGGTAGTCCATTAGGTTTCTGGTTTTCTAGAGTGTCCTGAAACATGTCAGTGATAATGTCTTGAAAGCATTGTAAGTTTGACATATTATTCACTGGAAATCATTACAACTGCAGAAAAAGCATAACAGAAAAATCTAATGATAAATTTTAAGGTTTTTTTTTTTCCTTCCTATTTTCATTTTCTAAAAAAAGTAAAAATTCTGCTTTTTTGTATGTTTTTTAGGCGTCAAATTTGATGTTAGCCTCACTCTGTTAAGTAGAGAGAGCCCCAGTGGGAAAAATAGTAAAGCTGTATTATACATTTATTTTATGACATTTACTTAGGACAGCTAGAATCCAGTGCTCCAGATTGAGCTAGGACAGATAGTAAAGCTGTATTATACATTTATTTCATGACATTTACTTAGGACAGCTAGAATCCAGTGCTCCAGATTGAGCTAGGACAGATAGTAAAGCTGTATTATACATTTATTTTATGACATTTACTTAGGACAGCTAGAATCCAGTGTTCCAGATTGAGCTAGGACAGATAGTAAAGCTGTATTATACATTTATTTTATGACATTTACTTAGGACAGCTAGAATCCAGTGCTCCAGATTGAGCTAGGACAGATAGTAAAGCTGTATTATACATTTATTTTATGACATTTACTTAGGACAGCTAGAATCACAGTGCTCCAGATTGAGCTAGGACATGCTTTTAAAAACTGACCCTGAAAATTGGTATTTTAACTCCAACTATTGAACATTTTTGGTTTTAATGTTTTAGTTTAAAGACTTACTCTAATTTTATGAGTATTTTTCCTTAATATATGTATGTAAACTATGTGTGTGCCAAGTACCTGTAGAGGTCAGTAGAGGCCATAGGAATCCTTGGTACTAGCATTACAGATGTTTGTGAGCCACCATGTGGGTGCTGGGTATCAAACCTGGGTCCTTTGTAAAAGTAACAAGTGCTCTTAACCATTGAGCATCCTCTATAACCCTAGAAATTAAATTGAATTTAAAGTTGAAAAGTAATTAAAGAATACATTGAGTCTATTATAAACCATAATCCAGTTTAATCCCATGTTTAGGTGAGGAATAGAATGCTTAGGAGAGCTAAAAAGAAGCAAGCAAACATTTCTTTATGGTTTATAAGAAATACCACACGTGGTTATTTAAAAATGAAAATCTCCACATTGGATCATATCTGTGGTCAAGCTACTCACTATGAAGAAGATGCCCATTTTAAAGAATATGTAGCTGAATGTCCTGATTCATGTCAGGATATTTCCTTTAATAATTGTTTGGCGAACTGTAACTTTGTTAATTAATTCAGGATATGTCTTGCCAGGCACTGCCTTGAAGTAAATAAAATTCCAGCATCATTAAAACCACACACACTCACACACACACACACACACACACACACACAGTTTGACAGAGTATGACATAAAGTCGATTGTTTATGATGTCTTACTTGTATTCACTAAAAATCTTAAAAAGACCAAATCAGTCTTTTATCAATTATCTTACTTCAAGAGGAAAATAGAACATAATTACCTCAGGGGTTTTGGAACAATGATTTGAGAAGACTTGGCTTTGAAAGAGTAAGGTTTCCTACAAATCCAGTCACATGAGAACTATACTACTTCCTGGGCCCTGGAATTCCACTTATCCCCTCTCTATTACTTTTCTTTAATAAACTTAACATGAGTAGCATCTTTTACATCATAAGATGTTTTATCTTTTTGGCCTCCTGATACATAAATGTGGCATTGGTGAGACATCCAACAATACTGCTAACCAAAAGCTTTATCTCCTTCAGCTTCTCTTTGCCAAAATAGCCAAATCTTTATACTCTTTGCTCTGCAGTCAACTGATCAATGACCATGTCTATTCATACCATTATCATTCATACTATGATAATTCTTTTAATAGTTGATCAGGAGCTTAAAATGTTCTTTTGTTGTTGTTTTTTGTTTGTTTTCGAGACAGGGTTTCTTTGTGTAGCAACCTGTCCTCGAACTCACTCCGTAGACCAGGTTGGCCTTGAACTCACAGAGATCCGCCTGCCTCTGTCTTCTGGAGTGGTGGGCTTAAAGGCATGTGCCACCACCACCTGGAAAGATTTTCTTAATATTTATTTTTGGTTAGAATATTGGACAATTTTATGTCTTTAGGCTTTTGTATAAGATCTCTAACTATACTTCAAGTTGTGAGAATTCTTCCAAACTACCATTACATGGTTTCAATTCATATTATTTTATGAAATTATACATTTTACCCACCACCACTTTAAAAAAAATTATTACTGCATGCTCTCTTTTCTTTATATGCTACATTTTTTCCTTGTTGACTATTTATTGTATGTTATAGTCAGGGGTTCTATGAACTAAAATTGTCCAGTTTCTTTTAGGTGTAAGCTTTTTATTTTGTACTCAAATACTTGAAATGTGAACCTACTTGGTAGTTCTGGGAATTTTTGTAAGAATTAAGTTCTTATAAAGGCTAATGTTAATGGCTCTTCATCATTTTTCCTGTAGTAATTATACACTGAAAGTAAATACTAGGCTTATTATTTTACGCTTAACTTTTT